TTGTTGCGCGCCACTCGCCACATCTTTCTTGTTTTTCTCTTAGCATTTATGCCACTTCGTTCCTGCATATTCACACCGCTTCGCGGTCGAAGCCGCCCGCACAGATCGCAACCTGTGCTCTCGGATGTGTTGACGAAAATGCGGCGCGCAGCTCCGCATATGCGATTGTTCCCCCCCCAAAAACCATCAAAAACCACATGCTCAATACCATTCACCTCATCCAGTCGGACTGGGCACACGACCGAACACATCCACGATATCAATCGTACAGTGACCCGCGGTTTGCCTAGACGTTTGCGATTTCTGCGATGTCCATAATGCAGTCTCCCCCGGCCGGCATAACCGGCATCGCATATCCATAGTGCAGCGCCCCTGGCTTGCCGAGACGTCTGGGATGTCAATAATGCGATCTGGCCCGACCGGCATAACCGGCATCGCCAAGGTCTGGTCCAATTGTGGTCAATTTTCCAAAAACATTGAAAAACACTAGCCGGATCCTTGCGATTTACACGAGCCTACACAACGCCCTCGGCACCTCCGGCGCGGGCGGATTTCTTTGATGTTTTTCTTAATGCTTCTGTTTCCTCCGATATACTCTGGCGTTGGGATGGTGCTGCGAACGTGAAGCCAGGAAACTCTCGGCTGAGTACAACAGAGCCAGTGCTAGGACACGCCCGTTCGCTTGGTCGGTTCTTGGGTCCGGGTGGCCAGGGGCAACCTATACTGGGGCGTTGGTTTGTTTGGTTTTGTTTGATTGGCCTGACGTAGGGCCAACGGAGGGGGGACGCCCGTCTAGGGATTGGAGCGCCTCCTGTGAAGTGCTGTGCTCTAAACCCCTGCGCGTGCGTGTCAGACACCTTGCAGTCGCCTGACTAGCTCCTGTGGGGTTTTTTTCATATGTCCGAGACCGTGCACTTAACATCGACCCTGGTTTTCATGCGCGAGCGCAGCCACGAATGACCAACCAATTGTCACCAACCAATTGCCACCCACCAATTGTCACTAACCAATTGCCACCCACCAATTGTCACTAACCAATTGCCACCAACCAATTGCCACCAACCAATTATCACCAACTGCCAACCAATTGCCACCAACCGTCAACCGTGGCAGGTTGCAGCACTTGGTGCACTCCAGGGGGTCGGCTATACGCCCTGGTGCAGTTGGGGCTCCGCCGCTGCGCCGCTCTGATCCCTTGGTGCACTCCAGGGTTGCCACCCACCGATTGCCACCATTCAATTGCCACCAATCATTTGTCACCAACCAATTGCTACCAACCAATTGCTACCAACCAATTGTCACCAACCAATTGTCACCAACCAAGTGCCACCCACCAATTGTCACCAACAAACTGCCGCCAACCAATTGCCGCCACCAACAGACTGCCACCAACCAAGTGCCACCAACCACTTGCCACCAACCCATTGCCACCAAGAAACTGCCACCAACCAATTGCCACCAACAATCTTCCACAAACTGTCACCAACTGCCACCAACAGACTGCCACCAACCAATTGCCACCAACCAATTGTCGCCCACCAACCACCAATTGTCCGCTCCTGTGACTCCTGTGTCTGGTGAAGTTGTTAACATGTGGGCTATCCGGCCCTTTAATTTTCGGGGATTTCAACGCCAGCCCGCTGCTTCAGAGCTGCGTGGGCAGACTGATGAAGAGTTGCTCAATGAGAACCTCATTGTAGGCCCCTACAGTCTCCTGCGCACCAACTCTAATGGAGAACGATTGCTTGCCTTGCGTGAGAGTGCCCCGACAGGCAAACTTCGGGTAAGCGCTATGGAACCTGGTTTCAAAATAAATCCCGCTGCTGGTTCCAAATTGATCGTGTGTTGGCTGCCCGTCGTTCCGCGCGCTGTGTTATGGACGTCTGTGTCAAACCGGGTATTGCTTTCAACACCGATCACCGATGTGTCAAAGTCAAACTCCGTTTCGCTCCGCCCTCGTACCGAGGTAGGCCTGCCTCTCGACTGCGCTGTCCGGATGAAACGCGCAAACTCCCACCTCTTGCTGCGCACCGTCTTGCCGACCCGACCGTGGTTGATGCGGTTAACTCCTGTCTGCATGGGCGACTTCCTTGAAGATGACCTGGTGGATGACTCCTGGGATTATGCCCTACGCCGGGCGGCTAAACATTTTGTAGGCTTTCGCTCCTCCGCGCCCGGTCCGCAATGGAAGCTTGACCATGCCCCTGAGCTTGCAAAAATCAGCCGTAGTCGTGCTGCATTCAATTCTTGGCTTGGAAGCAGGGTGGCTCCAGAGCTGACTTCCGCGCCGCTTGTGCATCCTGTAAACGCGAGGTTGCTGCTACCCTAAATAAGTGGTGGGCAGCCAAGGCTAGCTCCATTCAAGCGCTGGTTGATGCCAAAGAACCTCAGTCACAATACGCCGGTTTCCGCGAGCTTCGTTCATGCTTGCCTCCGGGTCATCGTCCCCTGCCCTAGCTTCGTGATGCTGACATTGACAAGTGGATCAAGGCCAACGTCAAGGACCGGGCTCGCTTGACCAAATTGGAAGCGATTGCTAAGGATCGACACGATTTCGCCAATCTCGAAGCCGACAAATTGGACACACCCAATTTGCGCCGCCTGGTCTGGGGATGGGACCCCACCTTAGCCCAGAAAGCCACCCAGAATGTTCTGGTGCGCTTGTTGGCCACGGCCAATGCCCTGGCAGCCTGATGGTTCCTACACCACTACCCCGCGGAATTTTGTGACAGTGACCATTTTTCAAGGATGCTCCCCAACACTCCCATTTCTGTTCGTTGTCTTCGTACCTTTCTCGACTTCTTTATTTCCGTGGATGCTTATTGTGACCTCACTTATTTGGAGCATCGCCCACTGGTCTTTCTCAAAGGTCAACTTTGCCGCCAAATTTTTCTTCGCACCTTATCAGCAGGTGCCCGCAGAACCAATTTTCTTCCGTTGCTGCATCGACTTCGCCCTCAACAACAACTCTACCTCACGGACTACCTCCACTCGGCAATGTTGTTTACCTTCGTTTCCACCCCCATCGCATCGCCTTCTACATTCTACATTGGCAGCAGCATCCACACCTTGTTCGATCGGGAAACGTCCCGCGCCCGCAAATACCGTCAACTTTGCAGCGGAATCACTGCCTACTATGAACCAGCCCTCCGTTTTTTGCGACGGACCCGCGCTTTCTACCAGCACTCCGTCATCCCTCTATAGTTCAGCTCTGACACCATGACCACTCGTTCGACGGAAATCTCCCTTCAACAACACCTTCACCCCCAACTCAACCACCCTTGGATCAACCCTCTACTTCGCCGTCATGGCCTTCAACGTCCTCAATACAGCATTCCCGCCACCCGCACTGGTCCCATCGGCATCACACGACTCCACCGTCATCATCGTCGTCTTGAACGTCAACACTCTCAGGAATGCCTTTTGGATCTACACCTTCTTCGGGCCTCGGATGTACTTCACCTTCTACATCGCCTGGGGAGTGACACCAACGAGAAGTTCTACACGTCTCAGGTTCTTCGCAGTCACGCAGCCTCTCCCGACATTCTCTACCTGCTGCGGTTCCAACACTTCCACACTGATGGCGCCACAACACAATTCCTCAGATCTACCACTCTCACCTGCTGCTGCTGGTGTGGACATCCCGGTCCCCGACTCTGCCTCAATGTCCTTGACCGCATCTTCGACTTCCCCACCGAATACATTACCACCTCCTTTTCCTTCCACGACTGAGAGCCAGGACTAGGTCCTCTTGCCGGGTTGAGGCCGTAAGTGCTTCCCCTTGTCTCGCCTCATGCGACCTCTTCACGCCACAAATCAATTGTTTTCGCACCTGACAAGTTTATACCGCCATGACCACTTACCCCAACCCTTTTAACTTTACATGACACTCCCATTGATTTACTCCCTGCAGCCATTTTAGCTTATCTATCCATCCCGGTATTCCTCCCTCACGATGATTTCTTCACCTGGACTTCGAGTTCCTGAACCTTTGACTCAGTTAATTCCTACTGACTGGAGAGCTCTACGGCAACCTTTTGAAACTCTTGATCAAGTGCCTCATCTCTCCACTGTCCGAACATCAGCCTCTTGGTCTATCAACCGCTCAACTATATCACTGTCACCCTTACACGCCCCAGCTTGAGACCAAGGAGTACACGGTTGATGACCTCAAAGATGTGATCTATTCCCGAATCGGACAACAGCGCACCTCTTTTTGGATGGCCCTTCCCTCCACCGGCAATTCCAGGGTTTGGGAAGTCCCACATACCTGTACACTTAAGGATCTTGCTCTTTACTACGTCAACTCTCGACGACTTCGTGTACTTGGTATACCACACGAATATTCACGACATGCCACCCCTTTCCCCTACCGACCTCTTCACACAGTCGCCCCTCGTTTACATGATGATGCCATTTGTCAACTACGAGTTCCACTCACTGCCTACCAAACATTCCGTGAACTTCGTCAGTTTCGTTAGTTTCACTCAACCTTCCCGGCTTGGCGCTTAAAATATGCCTGCCCTCGGGGAGGCGTGTGTGTGTACCCCTTGTAATCACAGGGATCCATTTGGAATGTTAGATGGCCTTCTTTCTTTTTCAGCAGGGGGACCATCCGTGTGCTGTGAGCGATGGTCCAACGAAGCGGCCACAGCACATGCGGATATCTGGCCTGATCCGCCAGACGTACCTGCAGTTTTACCAAGAAATCCAGCCTTTGCACCGGTTTGCTCTCGGCAGTCACGCATAGGGCTTTGGTTTTTGATTTACAGATGTGAGCGGACGACGTCATTCTGTCAGTCGATCGTTCGGTGGTTCCTTTAGAGTTGATGGCCACGCTGAACTTGATGGACCTCCACTTCTTTTTCAGGCTTCCTTACCTGTACCCTTAGGACATGGTAACCTAGGCCGGCGTGTGGCACCGCTTTCAGTTCAGTACACCCTATCCTAAGTGTGTGCCCAGACATGAACATGTTTGCTTCTGCTTTGCAAATCGCAAGGCGGGAACACCTACCTGGGTGTCTCCAACAGTGAGCGGCAGCGCGCCTCAAGCTCGCTCTGGGCACTCCGCCGTGATGGCTACCGATGGCAAAATGTGGATATTTGGTGGTTACATCCTGTATAACAGCAGCGCGGCAGCTATAGCAGCTATTTATTTGATGTGAAGTTTTTGTGTATTGCCATTTTTCGTTTCTCTTTGTTCCAACATCTGTCGCATCAGGCCGACTGAACGATTTGCACTACCTGGATACACAGGCGACACGCGCTAGCCGCTATACTGTATTGTTACGAAAGCCAGCCGATCAGCTTGGCTGGAGTCCGGAGTTGTCGATGGGCGAACAAAGTGAGTTTAGGGGGAGTGGGGGGGGTGGTTGCGCTCTTGGTTTCGGCGGGTAGGGTGAACCCAGAGCCTGGCAGGGGAGAGGGAAAGAGTGAGTGCCCAAAAGTTAATGAAAATGTATGTTTTTGGGCGGTCTTGGTGGCGCGAGCGATGCAAATGATGCTGAATAGTGCATCATTAGCATCGCAAAGTGCTCAGGAGACTTTTTACACAGGGTGGAAGTTTGGGGTAGAGGACAGGAACGGGGAGACTGCGCGACAGGAAATGCATCCCACACAGAGGGAGCTGGCCAGGCTAACCAGGTGTGTCCATCCAGTTCAAGGACAGAAGCGGCGAGATTTGCGCAAGCCAGAATCTCTTTTTGATAGAGATAGCGTTCGGCCAACGCCGGGGGACATGTAGGTTTCATCTTTACAGCTGCGTCTTGACATGGGATCTCCTGGGGAGGGAATAGTATGCAGTCAGGAACCTTGAAGTTGCGTGGGGGCACCCTTTTGCGAAAAGGGCTGTTAACGGGATGAAAAAGGGTGCCCCTCAGAGCTATAGACGTCCAAGAGAGTCGGACTTTGTTGCGCGGATCGAAGTCTATGCTATGCCCAGAAACCGTGTGTGATGTGGATGTGAGTTGATCCAGGCGCTGTGTATGTCCGCTCTATCATATCGAGCCTCACAGCGAAAGACAAGGAACGATGTCACCCCACACTGAGGGAGTTGACCAGGCGGCGAGACTCTGTGCAAGCTAGAATCTCTTTCTCATGGAGATAGCGTTCGGACAACTCAGGAGGGCACTCGCGGGTTTCATCTTTTGCGGCTGCGTCTTGATATGGGATCTCCTGGAGAGGAAATAGAAAGCGGTCAAGAACCTGCGTGGGGCGTGTTTTTTTAGTGCGAAAAGGGCAGTTAACGGGATGAAAAAGGGCGCCCCTCAGAGCTATAGACGTCCAAAGAAGTCGGACTTTTGTACGGATCGAAGTCTATCCTATGACGGGTACAATGGCGGATGGGAGTTGATCCAGGAGCTGGCCATAACAAAAGTTTAGCTTTGCTCGATGTTTTACAACCACGTGAATCTTGGCTGTAAACTCACACCGAGTTTATGAGTCCAGGTACAAGACAGGAGAAACGAACAGCAGGCAAGCTCAGTTATTTAGGAGTGTTTTTTGGTTGCTTGAAAACGCCCCTGGACGTGTGAATGTCCTGCTTAACTCAACCTTTGTCCCCCGACTGTAAATGTCTTGCTCAATTCAACCTTTCTCCTAAACCTTTCTCCTAACACATGGGCTCCACTTCTACCCTTTAACCGCTAGCAGTAAAACGGGCCTTGATCAAGACCTTGTGTTTAAAGAGCCTATCATATCGACCCTCTTTGCACCTCTTTGCCTTCTATTTCCCCATGCCTGACATATGAAGTGCGCTGTCGACTTCACCCCATAACCACACAGTTGCATATATATATATATATATGTTGCAGCACCATGTCGTCACGCTGCCATTCACTTGCTCAGGTGATCACAGAATATGTTGGAGGTATTTTAAGTTTGCCATTGCTATTGCGCAAACTTGCAACAGATGCAGTTTGGCCCCTACCAAATGCACATGCTGTAGATTGTTGCAGTTTTTTTTTGAGCTAGGATTGATTGTATTTGTTTCTCCCCCCGTGCAATTTTTTGTTGTGATGTTTTCTATGCTGTATCTATCAAGGTGTGCTGCTGGGAAAAGCGCCTGCAAATAAGCAGTAAGTTTGATCCATTGAACGAAATGGGTTACAGTAATCCAGAAGCACAGCATTTGTTACAACACGTGAGAAGCAGTACATCATGTCGGCCTGGTCGACCAAGCTCGGGGCGTTTGTTCTGGACTTGCCAGGCAGACACACCAACTTGGGTATCTCCATCAGTGAGTGGCAGCGCCCCTTCAAAGCGCAATCTGCACTCGGCCGCAATTGCCAGCGATGGCAAGATGTGGATCTTCGGCGGTTCGACGTACAACAGTTGTGCCCACTGCAGCATTGCTGCAAAAATCCTTTCTGTACGAATACTTATTCAATGGACTGCTTGCCAAGCCCGTGCACGTTCATGCCCCATCGTGCTCCTCTCGAGGCATCCTCAATGATGCGCGCTATCTGGACACACAGGCGGGCCCCCAATCAGTTTCAGCATTGGTGATGCGTTTTTCATGCACAACTGTTGCGCTGAACTTTTAACTATTGGTGTTCTCCTTGTTTGCAACCTTGAAGGATTACTTGATTGCCAGGCCGCAACGCCAACTTGGGTATCTCCATCAGTGAGTGGCAGCGCCCCTGCGGCACGTTTCGATCATTCAGCTGTAATTGCCAGCGACGGCAAGATGTGGATATTTGGTGGCTATGACGCTAACGGTGCCTCAGCAGGTTGACATTGAGCTTTTGAGCATCTACTGGCATCGATTTTGAGCATGGGGCTTGAGGTGTCCTGAATGATTTGCATTACTTAGACACACAGGCCGGGATGCGTTGCAGTTGGTGCGCCTATATTTCTTTGCATTCTAACGCCATGTTTTTCTACACCAACTAGTGGAGCAACATACTGTAAGGTCAGTCGCAGCAAGCGCAACTGGAGAGTCATTGCGGTTGGGGATGGGATGGCCGTTCATTTCGTTGTAGGCTGTAGGTCGGTGTAATGTCCAGAGCACATTGTGCTGAAAGGCAGACGTTCGCATTCTGCGGGTAACTTGGTATTTCTTGGCAAGATTTGCGTAGATGTAAATGTGCCAAGGTACACCAGTGAGGGCAAGTCAATGGTGAGTGTACACTCACATGGCTGCATGCCAGACAAAAAAGCACTTCACGCTGACCGGCATTACTTTTGCGAAGGTTCCAAATTCAAAAACCTGATCACCTTTGCGTTCGTAAATCGCACAACATCAAAGTGAAGAATGAACGGTCGTCCGTGTTTGGCCACCAATAATTACAGGCGTTATCCAACCAATTGTCTCCCTGTCTCACCGCTTCTTTTTCTACGGTGCCATTTATTGGGGCTTACTGATAGCCAAGCGTCCATGCTGCGCTTTCTCCACCACGTCCAGGCCACGCGGCGTCCGAACTCTGAGCAGCCATACGTCAACAAACCCACATCGCCCTGATACGCCTATCTCCACCTCCCGGCCCCAACACTTCACACCTTCAACCACAAAAACAACTGCGCGATCCAGATGGGTAAAAGGTGCATGTGTGGGCTTGTCTCAGCAAGATTGTTTCATCATTTTTGCTCACGACAATGTTACTGCATTGCGAGGCAGACACGCCTACCTGGGTATCCCCATCAGTAGGAGGGAGCATCCCGGCGGCGCGTAATGGACACAGCGCCGTGATCGCCAGCGATGACAACATTTGGTTGTTTGGCGGTCGGGACAGTAGCAGCCTGGTAGCATCAACCTAACCTGCTTGCTTCACAGTTGGTGTATCAACCGCATCAACCGTTGCGCGACGCGAGGCAACCTGGATGATGTGCACTACTTGAACACGGAGGTTTGAAATTTTGTGAGCGGGTTGCCAAAACCTATATAGCTCTTTTTTAAAACGTTTAAAGCATAGTTCAGTTCCAGTATCGGTGCCCTTTTTGCCCCACTTGTGTAAGACAACTGTGCAGAGGTTCGTCGGTTGTCACTAGAGCTTTTGTAATTTGGTGGGCCATTGCCAGGGTTGTCGCTTGTTTGCCAACTGTGCCAGACAGCCACAGTTACAAGCTCCACGGAGACAATGACTACAACCAGGTCCACTTTGACTAGTTCCAGCAGTACGAGAACCACACACACAACAAGCAGCACAAGCCAAACAAGTACCTCATCAAGTACTTCTTCAACTTCTAGCACTTCCACAAGCACTAGCAGTACTTCAACCAGCACAAGTACAGCTAGCTTGAGCTCAACAACGACCACGACAGTTTCCACCAGCAGCAGTAGCACTACTAGCAGCACCACCAGCTCTACCACAAGCAGCACTTCCAGCTCTACCTCGAGCAGCACTAGCTCCAGCGGCACAAGCTCCAGTAGTACTAGCTCCAGCAGCACCGGCAGCAGCACT